CCTGTGTTTTATCATGGAAAATGCACTACACAGGCATTATTAGTATTTTGTGGCCGAGTTTTGAACACACAAATTTGTACGAACCTTTAATGGCAAACTTCTTGCAGAACCTCCTAAAGGTGTTCTTTTCTACATAGTTCAGTCCAGGTGGGTAAGTGCGTTTGGTAAGGTAGAGCTCCACAGCATCGTACTTGGCAAAAATGGCCTGCTAACACAGAGACGTAGATCATGTAAACACATATGGTTCATGAATCTCTGCAGCAACCTGACAAATCTACGACATACCTCCTCCCCCACCGCAGGCTGGCTCGGACCTCTGGATGGGACCTTTGGAGGAAACAGATCAGGTGTTAGAATTGTGACACTGTTGCATTAATAATACTAAGTAACTGTGATGCTCACTGCGGAGTCAGTGTGGACCGAGAGTGCAGGCACAGCATCTGGATTTAGGGTGATGACCTCCGCACTATGGCTGAAACAGTCGTCAGTGAAATGTATCGAACAAATGGAAGACCGGAGCCGAGGATGCCAGTTTGGACGGCCGGTAGCCTTCAACCACTTTGCCAACAGAGTTGCATTGTGAAGAGGAAACCTAGGGTAATATATTAATGATGAAGAAGTACACACACTTTACCAAAGCACACTGAAGTCACAGCTACATGATTAATATGGGTTTAAGGGCAGACCTTTAGCCTTATTTGGGGTATTGCATTAAGTAGCCAAGAAGTAACATGTCAGAGTACACCGATCAGGCATAACAATATGACCACCTGTCTAACAAAGTGTTGGTCCCCCTTTTGCTGCCAAGACAGCTCTGGCTCATCAAGGCATGGACTCCACTAGACCCCTGTAGGTGTGCTGTGGTATCTGGCATCAAGATATTAGCAGCAGATCCTTTAAGTGCTGTAAGTTTTAAGGTGAGCCCTCCACGGATTCAACTTGTTTGTCCAGCACATCCCACAGATGCTTGGTTGGATTGATTGAATCTGGAGACCAAGTCAACACCTCAAAGCTATTGTGCTCTTCAAACCTTCCCTGAACAATATTTGGGCATCCTTGTGCTGCAAAAGCAACATCAATTCTTAAGTGTAGCAGTTAGATTCAGTCAAATGCACCATTACTGATTTCTAATGTATAATGGTCCTAAACCATTCAATGTCTTCGAATGGTTGATTCTGTGTATCGTGCTTCTCTGAGGTTCATCACTAACCGTAAATTTCAGACTCACCACTGTGAGTTATACTCTC